AAATGCTTGCTTTTCAAATTTGCAACTGTTCTAAAAACACAACAACAACAACAACAGCAACAACAACAACAACAACAACAACAACAGCAACAACAACAATAACAACAACAACAACAACACAGCCGCCACCACCACCACCACCACTACAACAACAACAACAGCAACAACAACAAGAACTACAACAACAAAAGGCAAGGACAGAGTGATTGTTGCTTACAGCAGTAAAGTTGTCATAGTACACATTACAGTGTCAGTCCCTCGTTTCGGGTCCATCTGCTCTGTGAGTGTGTGTACTTTCTGTCAATTCTGTAAACGAACTGTGCTGAGACACTCACAGAGTGGTTCTAAAGATTCACATTTTTGTTTTAAGAGTGCACGATATCGCTCGTGTTTGTGGCTACTGTCTGGTTAAGAGGTTAGTCTATAATTCTCTGGTTGAATTTGCTTGTGTTTAGGGGTGTAAGTAATCAAAAGCATTCGATTTATTTTTTCCCCTTACAATAATCACCCTTGTATCATGTATCCAACACTATCTGAGAAAACAATGATATCAAAATAAAAACAAAACACCCCCCCCCCCAATCCAAAAATTCTGCTTCCAGGTAACATATTTTAGCCTCAAGAACGATATTAATTGTATCTGAATGGTGTATTAGACAGGTCATCAAATATCAGTTTAGTTTTAACTCCAGATTTCGAAATGTGAAACTATTGCTTCCAAAACACAGGCAGTGTATTATTTACTTACTTAGGTAAGACGCATGGCTTCATTTCCTTGTCTGGCGTCGATCCTAATTCGTTTTATTCACAATATTTGCCTAAAATGAAACAACACTTTGTCAAGTAGAGCTCCACAAGTAATTGCTCATTAAGTGACGTTCTCGCGCCGAGGTGCCAGAATAATTGAGGGTTTGTACAGATTTGTTCTTGCCTCGAGAACAAGCCTTAAAAGCACTCGCTCCCAGCCAGGTGTGCTTGGGTTTGGGGTTTGGCTTATCGCCCCTGTATTTTCTCATAACTCTGACATTTGGGTATTGCGTCCTTTTTTCCTCTCTTGATTTTCTTTCTTCGTTGTGCTTTGTGTCAATTTAAACGTCATACCGTTCTCCATTGCCCTGAGATTAAATTCTGAGGTTTGTTTCAAGCTTTCAATATTCTTTCTGTCATATTATGAAGTTCGTCTTAGGTTGGCAGATCTATGTTTGTTTGTTGAAAAAAATATTTCGAGCTTAATCGATTTCGAAGACAAAAACCTCATGAAAGAGTTACAAAACTATACACTGCAAGATTGAAATGCTAGATGAACGCTCACAGCTAAGCCTTAATTCGAATAATTTGCTTAGAAAGATAGTCTGGAGAAGTAAGTAGTGTCAACTAGAACCAGAGAAGGAACTTAGATCTAAATGAAATAATTATTCATCTCTTATCACCCTCTCCACGTTTTCTATATTGTTACAGTTTTTATCTCCGTATGTTTGTCTAAGATCGACTACACCCCCCCCCCGTAGTCTTAATTTGGTGTGCTTAATAGGTCATTTTCAGATCATCTTGTATGGTAACGACAAAACTAAACAAAAAGAAAAAAAATCAAAACCAAACCAATCCCCTCTCCCTTTCCCCCCCAATCAAACAATAAAAATCTCCCAATCAACAAATCACCAAGCACTCTGAGTACCGTAATGAGAATTAAAAACTTCGAATAAAAATCGACACAGAACAATTGTCAAGGGCCGTCTGCTACCAACATCCAGAGTCTGGCTGGCTTTCGATACATATTAATAGATCTATGGACATTGTTGTAGAAAAGAAAAAAAGCCGACTTAAGTTACAAGTATTTAAAAAGATATTTAAAAAAAAGATTTATGATACAAATGATGATATAATCCTAGGGGTTGTGCAATGATTATTGAATGTTCCTACGCTAAAAAATAATAAGCTTGGTTTATTCTCTTATCTCCGAAATCTCTGATGCATAAAGCCACAGTTATTGCAATTTGATATAGCCGTTTTGGTTCCGATTACATATACTATACACGCGCTGTGAGCACAACTGGTAAACTATCAATATTCCCCTTCTTTCAAGAGAAGCCCAACGCAGTTAGTCGTTATTAGTTCCTTATTATTAGTCTGTCGTTAGGCCTGAGCATTAGTGGTGAAGCCTGGTGTGTGAGAAGGGGAGG